GCGCTACTATTAAAGTATGTGTTGGTATATTAACGTATGGTTCACTGTATTAGTGAGTGTCTAGTCTCATACTAATCTTATAGGCTTTTTTAAGAACATTTTAATCCGTAGTTAAATTTTTTTGGAGAGTCTGTCTTGATAATACTACTGTAGCTAACTAAGCTACATAACGAAGAGTGTGTATTAGTGAGTTAAGCTCATTTTTGAGTTCTCTTCAAAACTGGCAACACCAGAAATTATATCATTATCTGGTAATTGACTTATTGGTTAAAAGCCAAGTTTAGAGCAGTAAACTAAACCGGTTGCTGGGCACAAGTAGCAGATACAATATCATTTTTGTTTATTTTCTCATTCAGTCTTTTTTAAATCATTCGCGATTTTTTATTTCAAATTCGATAGTATAATATGAGTATATATTGAGAGCATCGAAAAGGCGAGAGTGAGTGATAGAGATTGGGACTCTCAAATGGACTGCTTTTAATTTTAGAATTTTTTATAAGCAAAATTAATTTATACTGCAGACTTTGCAATTTCATGTTATGCATATCAGACTATGAATTTATGCATTTTAGTCGCAGATAAATGATATACATATGGTACATGTGTACATGAAAACAATATAAGAAGTAATGTACTATAATCACTATACTTATAATTAATTACCTATGCATTGTAAGAACACAGCATAGGGATTTGTATTAAATCAACAGTAATGTAGTGATAAGAATAAATAGGCGTTCATTACTAAAAATTAGTAGAGGATTTATTCTAAAATTGTAATAGTTAGTAACAAGTGCTAATAAGCAGTATTAAATCATGATGGAATAAACTATGGTAATAACTTCATTCTATAAATAGTCTCCAGGTACTATATCAAAATACATTTAACTTCATTTTAGAATTTAATTGCTTTTTAATTAAAAAACGAGAACTCTATTGGGAAAGGCTACCAAGATTACCACAATCTAAAATGCTTTTAGGGACTTACAACCTAAGGCGCTTCAAAGATTGTATAGCACAATCAAAAAATAACCTTAGAATTATTGCAGAATTATTGACCGGTCACCATAGATTGAATAATGACCTATCGAAGTTAGGAATTTAATCCAACTCAGACTGCAGATACTGTAGAGAAGAGAGAGAAACTGCATACCATGTGCTTGGGGAGTGCCCGGCACAAGTGGAAGAAACACTTAGGAGCGTACCATATTTTATGTATCATAAGGATCCAATACTAGAAAAGACAGGCTCTACACTCTCTTTCATTAAAGAAATCGGAATTGGAGAAACACTCTAATCCGTCTAAGGGGCACAATAAAACTTTTAGGTCGCATTGCACGATCCTTTCTTTCCAATAATATAATAATAATTAAACAACAAAACACCAAGTTGATATATAAGTCAAGTACAGCTTTGGTACAATTAGCTATAATAAACAACTGACAGGGTAAGAGTTCAATCCTTGGTATTTGCAGTCTAAAAAAAAAGAAAATATAAAAAATAATTCTAAGACCACTGATGATGGATATTTGGCAATACTCGAAACAGCTGTATGGTCAGTCGAAAATTCAATTAATTAATAAAATAATAAAAATTTTTACTGTTGTGATTTAATACTGTTCGAAGTACCTCTCTATTGAATACAATAGTTTATATTAGGAATTTAGTTTCTTTCGTCATTGAATTGAATAAATCTTCATTTAAAATAAAAGCTTTGTTTTGAGACTTTCAATACATTAGTAGATAACTGAGAAATAAGAGATAATGTTTAGAATAATACTACTAATACTAATTAATTTTATTATACGATTTTTTAGATTTATTTAGAACAGACAATTTGCAAGTGTCAGCTTCTGAATTTCTATTTAATAAACAATTTTGTCATTCGTTAGTCAACCTCTGACAGCATTTTTAGACTATATATAATCTTAAAGTGAAAATAGCTGCACAGAGATATAGCAAAACGTATATGTAATGTTTCTAGAACAGTTCATAAATTGTTAGGATTCGATAGATTATCTGCCGCTAGTATTCTTAGATTAAATGTAAAGTTATAAGAAATGCAAAATGACAGTGAAGCTGGAATGACAAGGAGGAAGAGGAAAAAATACATGCCACTTTCTTCTTCTCATTGCAGTTCAAACAAAAGTCTGGAGTTGTCATATTTACCTTGGATTTATATTTAATATTGACATGTTTTTAATTCCACTAGTACATGTATAGTTCTAAAATTAATTTTGACGTATTTAAAAGATTTTTGATTATAATTTTTTTTTTGGTTCTAGAAAAATGTGTTAACTACATATCCCTATTTAAGGTTTTTGATTATAATATGTTTTTTTTTTGGTTCTTGAAAGATATATTAATTATATATCCCATTTGAATTCTTATCCACTGTAATACAGAGAACATATAGTTATATCAAAGAATCTTCCTTTCTATGTATTATGTTTAATTATGCTTTTCTAATCTTTTAAATGTTCTTTGACTATAATGTTTAAAACATATAATATCATCACTACTTTTCTCGTCCCTCATCACTACTGCATATTCTAATGAATATAAGAAAACATATGCTTTAAAAACAATTTCTTTACAAATATGTATGTATGTTACTTGGTTTCTTAAAGGCCTTTTCATATATCTTCAAACGTTTGAAACAGTAGCTTCACACTGTAAAGACTACAGAACCTGGTGTAATATAAGCCGAATTCTATTTAAGTCTAAGTTGGGTTGTTGTAATGTAAATGCGGACATACACAAAGTATTTCAAAAGCGGAAAATATATTGGCTTATGGTAGCATACCTTCATATGGTATATTGTTGTTATTGTTCGAAGTGCTAACTTACATGTGCGTTAGCTGTCTCTAACGTGCTCTTCATAATATTTATAAATGCAACTTACTGGCTTGCGAATTCTCCGAAACTTGGTAAGACCGGTTAATAATATTTGTAGACAGAAAGATAGACCACGTTTAGAGCTCGCTTTCGTATGAGTATGTATTTACAGAGCGTACACACAAATACTACTTACTACAGCAAAAGCAAGTTGTACGCTGCAATGTTGAGTGAAGACGGTTGTCTTGAGATTGACTTTTAGACTTTATGTGAGGCTCTATTGTTAGTCTTAGCCTGGTTGGTGTGTTGAGCACAACACTTGTATTTGAGGTACCGGAACGTGTCTTTGTTGTCGCGTTTTATTTACTAAATTTATTAACAAGGCACTACGTGCGTTTCGTTGAAATAAGGTGTGTGTTTGAGTGTGAATGAATCTTTCAATCGATTCTATATAAGTGAATAAATATTTCTTTCATATAATTTAATACTTCTTTAACAGAAAAAAAAAAAAAAAATAAATAAATAAATATTTTATTAAAGAATTTTTGAGTTTATAAGCTGCAAATGTGCAGGAAGTATTGCGTATGGCATACAAATCGAAGAAAAAATTATATGGATATGGAGAAGATATGGAGAAGTGTTAAAGTGTTTTGCTATTTCAACTGTTGTTGGTGTAGTTGTTTTTTGTGCTTGTTGTTGTTGTTGTTTGCCCTTGTAAAATTGAATGAATTTATTTTGTATTTTTTGTAGTAGGTTTTTCCCTTGAAGTATTATAATAAGTGTCTGCGCTGATATCGATGATGTCACATTGAAAATTGAAAAATTTTTAAAAAAAGTTTTTGAAAATAATTTCATATGAATAATGAAACACGTTTTAACAATATATTTTACTGTTTATTTTTGCACATAATATTATTGGATGCTTACTTATTTTGAATATATAATAAAAGACTTAAACAACAAACTTGCCTTAGAGCAACCTTCACTTTTCTGCTATCGTAAATTCATATGCAAAGTGTGCAAAGCAAGTTTGTTTTTTAAGTCTTTTAGTGGATGATATAAATTTGAGAAAAAAAACACACTCGTAGTTTAAAATAGTTTGTGTGCAAAATTTTAACTAAAAAATTTTTGTTTCATAACAATTGCTTGGCATGATTTAACTCTTTTGACCACAATTATCAACATCATTCGCACCAAAAAAAATTAGCAAAAAACACAACAGCCAACATCTTCATCAACTTGACAATATGCAAAATGTGTAAATAAGAAATAAAAATACTTAATATATATATAAAAAAAAATTAAATTAAAAAAACAAATAAATACGTAATAACAAATAATATTTAAAATATTCCAAATAAGTACGGAAAAAACCTTTTAAACACTTGTTAAATTCACTTGAAGTAATGTTCGAAAGTAATGACTAATCAGCTGCAATTTAAATTGAAAGAAATTAATTTTGTTTGTAGGAAAAAAATTCATAAAAATACATAAAAAATTAATTAATAAAAATAATTAAAATGTATAATAAATCACTCTAAGTTTTGAGCACGCATCGTTGAACCCGGCAAGGCGAGGTGCACCCTCTTAATTATTTTTGCAATATTTTGAGATACTTGCAACAATTTCAATTCAGTTATAAAAATATTAAAAATAAGTTTAAATATTTTGAAAATATCAAAAAAAAAAA